TCCTGCAGCTGCTTATAAAATAACCACTCAGCAGCTTAATATTAATTACAAACTGTATGGCCTATGGCTAAGAATTCTTGCTAGCTAGCTCTTTCATCTTAAATTAACCCATTTCTATTAATCTATGTATTGCCATGTGGCCATGGTGTTACTGATCTACTGCCATGTTGCTCCTTGGGCAACAGACTGGCATCTCCTCTGCCTCTCCTTTTGTCCTCCTGTCTCTCTCTTGGATTTCCTGCCTGGCTATAACCTGAATCACCATAGGCCAGAGCAGCTTCTTTATTAACAAATCATAGCAACACATATTCACAGCATACAGAAAGACACCCCACAGTACTTCCCCTTTTCTGTCTAATCAAAAAGGAAGTTTTAACTTTAACATAGTAAAATTACATATAATAGACCAGTTACTAAGCAAGAATTACACTTATAATATCTAGTTTATTTGTATTTGGCAAAATTAAAAAAAATATTCTATCATCTATCCTATATGTGTGAGTCTAAAGTTTCATATTTAATTTATCTTTTATCACAACCAAGGAAAATTATAACTATAACTATCTAGCCTTCAATTACATCAAAAAATAAAGAAAGATATATTACCTGAGTAAAGAGGAAGTACATTGCAAGTAACTTTCATAATTCTAGAAATGACAGAGACATCTGACTGCCTGAACAGTCATCCAAAGTTCTTCTGTAACATTGGGGCATCTATCTTTAGCCTATGGGCCTAGAGTCTCTTGCAGACTTTTTAGTGAAGCAGGAAATTTAAAGGACTGTCTTGCCTATTGTCAGTTCATTAGTTGCTTCTCCCTGTGTCCTGCAGAATGTCTGGCAGTCTCCTCTGTGAAACAGGAACCTAAGGGACCATCTTGCTCTGTTTAGGCAAAGTTTAGTGGTCACTTTCCCATGGGTCCTGCATGTCCAATCTATATAACATACTGTCAAGCAGTCCAGGCAAGAGCAGTTTCTTGCCCAAATGGCCAGTTTTGCCAAGAAGAAGGTAAACTCCATATGGAGTGTCTTTAATGCCCACCTTTCTCTTCAAAGCAAATAGGTGCTGCCAGAAGCAGATGTTTCTCATTGTCCAGAAAAGTCTAAGTTCTTAAAACATTTTAAATGCCATATTCTGTAGGTCTTTGAAGTATTTGAAAATTACTAATTGAAATATGTCTATGTATACCCAGAAAACTTAACTAACATGACTATAAGTATGATTATCATAGATGACTAATTATTAATCAGTATTTCTTAATTATACATTACAATTTTAAATGAGTTGATAGATATAATATCTTAAACAAGAGTAGAAATATATACAGTATAACAAAATTAACTTTAAATTTGTATCAATAAACTAAAATCAATAGCAATGTAAAATATTTTAAACAAGTTGTTGCTCTTTAAAAGTAGATTCAGGTGGTGGTGGTGCATGCCTTTAATCCTACCACTCAGGAGGCAGAGCCAGGCAGATCTCTGTGAGTTTGAGGCCAGCCTGGTCTACAGAGCAAGATCCAGGACAGGCACCAAGCTACACAGAGAAACCCTGTTTCGAAAATCAAAAAAAAAAAATTTAAAAAGTAGATTCAATAAGCTACTCTTTCATCCTATCATATCTATATCCCCCTTTATTCTTTAGAAAGAGATTGCATTTATAATCAACCCCCTTTAAATAAATTTATAAAAGTAAACATTTATAAATAATATTTTGGGAATTTGGGCATAGCTTTTCACACATACTGCTTCCTACTGATTGGGGGCATTGTTAATCTCATGGGAATTCTGGGAAAATTAAGAATTATAGTTAAGTCTTGGCTGTAGTAGTCTGTGAGGGTGGATCATCTCAGCCAGTTAGTTTGAAGCTGATTTTGGATGTTGGATCATCTATACCATGGCTGTCATTGGAGACTTACCTGGAGTCTTTGTTGAGCAAACCATATTAGCCTGGAAGCAATCCACAGGTTCTCATCTTCTATGAAAACAAAAGCAGAACCTCTTTTCCAAAGCAATGTATTCTTAGACACAAATTTTGAAGTCAAGATACTTTTAAAATATATATATTGATTTAACTTAGCAGCTTTAACAATCAAATGTCTTTCTGCAGTTAAAAATCCCAAAGACAATATAATCCAGACTCTTTGTGTAATTTTCATCTTTATGTGGCTTATTTTTTATATTACTTTTTTCTTTCTCTTTATAGACTTTATTTTTTAAAACTATCTATTTCATTATGTAACTATCTATCCTCCTTTTCCTCTCTCTTCCAAGCCTACATACATTTTTACATACATTGTAAACCGATTAGAGGTTTATTCCATCTGAATCTGTCTTTTGTGAATTTATAATCTTTCTCTGACCAAGAGAGATGTTAAACTGTTAAACTGCATGGCTAGGACAAAAAGTGACAGCCTTGGCTGCTGACTGCCCCAGTCGGATGTACCAAGTTGTACTTACCTCCCCAATTCTGGGAAGCGGTATTAAATAGTATGACTGTGTTTTTAAGTCCATGGCTGTGCTCTCAAGCCTGCAGGTATCAGCTGGGAGAAGCCTCTTTGTATCGCAGTCCAGCTCATCAGAGACTGGGAGTCCACAACGTTGTTGTTGAAGCCTGCCGCAGCCAGTGGATGCGTTTCTGTACCACAGTCCTGCATGAGACCTGAAGTAGGAAGCTGTTTTTAGCTCAATTTTAGAATCTTTTTTTTTTTAATTCTCTCAGACAGAAAGGGAGTGAATTTGGAGGGGAAGGAGATCAGAGGAACTGGTAGAAGAGAAACCATATCAGAATATATTGCATGAAAAAAAAATCTACTTTCAATAAAAGAAAAATGGAAAAATTTTCTGGAAACTTCAGAAACATTTGTCAAAGCAATCTATGGGTCAAAAAGGAAATCCTGGGGCATGCCTTTAATCCTAGCACTTAGGAGGCAGAGCCAAGTAGATCTCTGAGTTCAAGGACAGCCTGGTCTACAGAGTGAGTTCTAGAACATCCGGGCCTACACAGAGAAACCCTGTCTCAAAAACAAAACAAAACCCAAGAACAAAAAAGGAAAACCTCAAAGAAAATAAAAATACATAGAAATATGGGACTGGAGAGATGGCTCAGTGGTTAAAAGCACTCACTGCTCTTCCACAGGACCTGGCTTCAATTCCCAGCAACCACATAGAGGCAGCTCATAGATGCCTGTAACTTCAGTTCCAGGGGATCTGACACTATCTTCTGGCCTCCACAGATATGAGACATGCATGCACCTGTTGCACAATCATACATGCAGACAAAACATTCATATACATAAAATAAAATAATTTTAAATACATAGAGCTCAATTAAGATAAAATTAACATTGTTTTCAAGATATCATAGGTATAGCCAAAACAGAGGGAAATATGCAGAAGTATTAAATGCTTATGTTGAAAAAGAGCAGCTTAGTTAAAAGATTAAGAAAAGCAATCAAAATCAACCAAAAGTCAACAGAAAGAGCAAAAAAAAGGAAAATAAAAGCGATCTTATTTTTTTTTTAAATTATGCAATGACTCTAATTTGTGCTGCACATGTACTGCAGGGTATACGGGCAAACACTGGAGCATGGTCAACCTACCAGAAGCAACACTGTTAAAGAAAACTGGATTCTAGATGTGGAACAAGGATGACTGGACTGCTACTCACATCACCAGTGAGGCTACCTGTAAAACAGGACCCCAAGAAAGACACGGGGATCACCCAATGACGGAGAAATGGATGAGATCTACATGAACAGCCTGGACATGAGTGGGAGCAATGAACTGTGAGGGTCGAGGGAAAGAGAGCGGGAGATCCCACCTGGATCAAGAACAGAGAGGGAGAACAAGAAATAGGAGACCATGGTAAATGAAGACCACGTGAGAAAAGGAAGAAACAAAGTGCTAAAGAGGCCCACAGAAATCCACAAAGATACCCCCACAAAAGACTGCTGGCAAT